TGCCCTCCCCCCCCCCCCCCCCCATACACACACACCTTAGAATCTTCTGTATATAAGGCAGTTGGTTGGGTTCTGGAGTGGCCCAGGGGAGAGAGTATTTGCCTGGGGTGGGGAGGGTTTGGGGGTTCAAGTCCTGTCTGGGGGGAGGGGTGGGACTGAGTTCCCAGAGCTGGGCTATCTCATTTCTGATACATTTTAAATACAGAGCTGCAGCAGGGATACGGCGCAACCCAGGACTGAGTCGGGCTGCTGGCCAGCCTGCTACAAAATTTACTGGCAAGGGGGGGGATGCATGTAATCTATAGCATTAACCTATGTGCTTTTGCTTATCGGTTAATCCACTACACTATTACATCCCTAGAATGGATGGGTTTCAGACACCTTGCATAAAGCTGGTAATGGGAGCCATGCACCTGAGTGAAGATCACCCAGCGGGTTTCAGAGAGGAGGAGGAAATACAAGACTTGCAAAATCTCCAGGGCTTCATTGTTTCGTCATGTTGCTACAAGCTTAGACATCAGACATTTGTGAGAAATGTCACTAAGGCACAAGTTGTCTGAGCAAACTTGGGCTTGTTTTCAAAACGGAGCTGGTTCTATTTGGGGCAAAGATGATTTTCCTATCAAAAACCCGAAGGTCTATTTTTGTCCCCAAATTTGGGGTGTAGTAATATCCATGACATTGAAAGCGCATAATAAAGAAACGTCGTGGATGTAACGTAGCAAAATGTGAACATTTTTATGTGCATTTTCATACACATAAAGGCTACGTCTAGACTGGCATGATTTTCTGCAAATGCTTTTAATGGAAAAGTTTTTCCATTAAAAGCATTTGCGGAAAAGAGCATCTAGGTTGGCACGGACGCTTTTCTGCAAGAGCACTTTTTGCGGAAAAGCGTCCGTGCCAATCTAGACGCAGTTTTGCACAAGAAAGCCCTGATCACCATTTTCACCATCGGGGCTTTTTTGCGCAAACCAGTTTTTAGCTGTCTACACTGGACCTCGTGCGCAAAAATATTTCTGGAAAATGGCTTTTGCCTGAACAGGAACATCAAAGCATTTGCGCAAGAAGCACTGATTTCGGACAGTAGAACGTCAGTGCTTTTGCGCAAAATCAAGTGGCCAGTGTAGACAGCTGGCAAGTTTTTGCGCTAAAGCGTCTGCTTTTGTGGAAAAACTTGCCAGTCTAGATGCAGCCAAAGACTTTTTGTGTCGTGCATTAACCCCCTTATCCTGGCCAGATTCCAACCATGCTCAACTAAATTCTTCCAACGGTTTCCCCTGGTTATGGTATCTTTATATCCTTTCCTCCCCCAATGTCTCAGATATTCCATTGCAGCAGCTGCATTTCACTAGTGGGTGAGTGATCCCAATACACTGTGTGTGACATACAAAGTACTTCTGAATCCTTCAAAAAGAGAATTTTTCATTCGATTCCCTGACTGGCAAATGCAGGAATGGTCTTATGCACTGAATCCCCGTTTTACACTGAACAGATCTTCACTAGCTTCACCTCAAAACCAGATCCAGAGTTTTGTGAGGATTGCAGACAATGGGAAGATGGGAAATCATCACCATCCCTGTTAGGGTGAGCATTTATTTTGGAGTGATTGCCTGTAGGGCAATTTGCATCTCTTCAATATACTCCTTTTTGAGTGTCACCCGAGCAATAAACGTCTTTCGGTCTATGGCACCGACCTATGTCCTACTACCATAGTGGCTAAGTGCCTTACCATCTATAATATATAGATCTTCCCTCAAAGAGGGAGGGACTATTTCCTCATACTGTACAGAAGGGGAACTGAGGCACAGAGACTCCCTCAGGGGGACAAAAGAGGTCTGAGGAG